GTGTTGCAGGGTTGTCCATGGTGCATGCCTCCTTTCTTGAACTTACCTATAACCTCTTCATAGGACATCTCCTTATAATTCTGGGAAAATAAGGCCTCTGGAGGCTAAAAAACACCTATTGCTTCTGCAAAAGGTCAGTGATGATCTGTTAAGAGCATTTGCATGCAAACTAGTAGTCTTGAATTTCTCTTGCCATAACTTCTCGCATTGCCTAGAGGAAATTTTTTTTTTAAGTAGCTAAAAACAGTTTCTAAATCTATGGAAAAATCGTTTTAATTCAGGAAATCCCTTTGAAGCGAAAGTGCACAGCTGAAAGTCCGGGACATTATTTTCATTTTTATTAACTGACTCTCCTAAAAATGAGGGATTCCAAAAACTTTCCTAATTGACTCTGCAATTGGTAACATGTATGCCAGACTTTGATGCTGAAAAAGACAAAAAAGACCTAAGAAACATTGCAGATCTAGTTTCCTTCCCAGCAGCGCCCCGAGGAAAGGTGGTAGGAGTTGGAGAAGCCTTGTATGCTGAGTTATCCCATGCTCCAAGTACTCTATGGTATTGCCACTTCCTGCTATTAATTCTTTCCGGGAAATGCATTTCAAATGAGAATTGAGGCCCCATTTTCTACAAAAATTCTAATTTATATTGAGAATGTTCTAAAAGTCAGAATTGAAATGAAAATTCTTCCCACACATCCCTCTTTCTCTGTCTTCCTTTTTAACCTTGATCTCAAGCTTTAAGTCTGTTAGATAAAGATCAGGAAAGAACAAAGAAAATGAACAGGGTAATGGGATAAAGCAAGTATCATCTTTTATGTCTTTGAAATACAAGATCACTATTTATCAGCAAATTTTACATGTATAACTTTCTTTTATTTTACTGCTCCTAGGAAAAAAGTGACTCATAAAAAGTAGCAAAATTAACTAAACTAGGCAAATTTTCAAATAGTAATCTAAGGTCACAATAAACTTGCTAAATTGTATTTATGATTTTCCACATTGTCAAGTATTATAGAAATGAAAATTAAAATAATCATTATTCTCTCTTCACTACTCTACTCCTAGCTTCTCAGTCAACTGCTTTTAGCCTACCATCAATGACGACCAGTGACTCTTCTTGATTTAATAAAGTGTTGATCATATTTGTGTGTTTGCTTGTAAGTTTCTATAATCAAATAAGGAGAAATATGATAGCCTGGGTATTTAATTTAGGATACTGAGAATTGAAATGTCTAGTGATAAAATTTTCTTACCGAAAGAAACATTTTTCACAGATATTTTTTTAAATTTTTTTTTATTTATTTATTGAATCACTGTGGGAAAGGTTACAAAGCTTTCAGGTTTATGTCTCAGTCATGCAAATATCAAACACATTTCCCTTTACCAATACTTATTTTTTACCATGAAGAACCCCAATAAAACCCCACCCCCCACCCCTCCCCGTCCCTGTGAGGCAGATGAATTCTAGTTAACACTCTATCTGCTCACAGATTTTTTTTACCTTAAAAGTCTGAATAGGTAGACTCAACAGAGCCTTGAAAACAGTTGATCCACTCCATCAAATTCTCTAACTAAAGAGACAAATGTTAAAGGTCTAAGTGTCTAACTGTGGCAGTGTGGTATTTTATGTTGCATTTTGTGGTATACATGTGGCAGAGAGTGGGTGGGTTGTTGGGCCACACTTGGTGTTGTCAGGGGTTATTTCTGGCTCTGTGCTCATGGATCACTTCTGGCAAGCACAGGGGACATATGGGATGCCTGGGGATCAAACCCAGGTCTACCACATGTAAAGCAACTGCCCTATCTGTTATACTATGACTCCAATCCCAACATAGCATTTTTCTATGGAGAAATTTTGGCTGTTTTTTTTGTAGGGAAATACTTATCTGTGTTTCTTTACTCTATTTATTAGCATTTTTTTCCCTTTAAGTATAATTGTTTCTTGAATTTACAATGGAGAACAGGAAAAGAGACAGACCTAAATGTTTGACAGTTAGTATCAATAACTAAAAGGTAGAAAAATATACATTTGATATGTTTTTATAGATTTATTTTTGTATTTTTATACATATATTTTTATAGATTTTTGAAAACTATTGTCAAAGCTCTTTTTTGAATAAAAGAGGGAATTCAAAATGTTTTCCTTTTCAATCAAAAAAGATCTGATTTTTAGATTGAAAGTTTGAATAAAAAACTCATGAACTGACCATTCATTATATCTTTATATAGTCTAGAAATCAAATTTGATGGCCATAACTCAAAATATGTTATATGTATGATAATGTCATATAAATTCATACCTATTGCTCCATGGATGGGTTTTATTATTTCCCTATATGGTAAATAATACACATCTTTATAACAACTAATCGTATATCTAAATATATTCAAAAACATGTAGTATAGCAATTTCCTAAATAATTTCTTCTTGTAGTTCTAACTTTGTATTAAAATATAGGATCCTAAAAGATAGTACAGTAGGAAGGATGCTTGCTTTGCAAGTGGCTGACCTGGGTTTGATCCCCAGCATCCCATAAGGTCCTCTAAGCACCATAGAGAGTGACCCCTGAGTGCAGAGTTACAAATGAGCCCAAAGTTGGAAGGAGAAGGAAGAGGAGAAGGAGGAAGAGGAGGAGGAGGAGAAAAAGGAGGAGGACTTATGTTGATACTCATATATAACCTGCTCTTTCATGTCTGCTCTATCACCACACATATGTGTGCTTTATGTTATACATGTCAAGTTTATACCTTTATGTCACTAGTTCATATTTCTAATTACCATTAATCCAGAATACTATAGCTAAGAAACTAAGAATAGTTTACATGTACAGCAATAATAGAAACAGACTTAATGTACAACAGCACTTGACTTTGATCGCATAACCATAAAGAAAACCATATATCTCTTGACAGAGAATGCTTCATATTGAGGGTCATTAATTTAGGCTACAAGAAAGTAATATTTAACTGCCCAATTTACAACTTTCTCTAATGGTTAGCTGGAAAAATTCCACCACCCAAATGATCACATAAAACACTAAATTGCTTCAATGCCAGTTAAAATTCCTCTCTGGCAATGATGTGGCACAAGTAAGAGGCAAAAAGCTCTGAGAAAACTCTTGAGGCTCGTTGTACAATGGTCCATGAGAATTAAGTGGCTATCACTCAGCTGAGCTAACTAGCACTCACGAGCAGTACTAACCAGAAAGACATTTCACACTTTGTGCTAAGAATGCTTGCCAACAAGCTAAAATTAGACTGTGAGCGAATTCAACATTTTTTAATGTAAAAGACAAATTTATTATTAAAAAAATAGAGTATCTATTTCAATTCATTAGGTGAAATTTTTTAAAAAATTCCCTTTTTAAAAAAAATTGAATCATCATGAGATACAGAGTTACAAAGCTGTTCATGGTTGGGTTTCAATTATACAATGCTCCAACACCCATCCCTCCTCAGCGTACATTTCCCACCACCAATGTCCCCAGTTTCCCCTCTACCACCCTCATCTCATGCTGTCTGTCTCTCTCTCTTTCTCTTTCTCTCTTCCTCCTTCCTTCCCCCCCCCTCTTTTGGGCATTATGGTTTGCAGACTTTGGGGAAGTGGCTCAGTAGGTTGGAGCACTTGTTTTTTTTTTTTTGCCTGCAGGAGCCCCAGGTTTGATCCCTGGAACCACATGATCCCCCAAGCATTGTGGGGTGTGACTCCTCCCAAATAAAACTATAATGTTATAGTGGCAAGGTATTATTTACTAAAGGTAGAAACCAGTGATATTAATCTTTTATTTTATATTGGGGAAGGATGTTGAACTATATGAAAATTATATTCGGAAAACACAGTTTATATTCAAATAATTATTTTACTAAATCATTTTGAGCCATGAAGTAGATAGGGCTGGAGCAATAGCACAGCGGTAGGGCGTTTGCCTTGCAAGCAGCCAACATGGCCGACCCAAGTTCGATTCCTCCGCCCCTCTCGGAGAGCCTGGCAAGCTACTGAGAGTATCTTGCCCTCACAGCAAAGCCTGACAAGCTCCCCATGACGTATTTGATATGTCAAACACAGTAACAACAATTGTAAAAATGGACACGTTACTGGGCCCGCTTGAGCAAATCAATGAACAACGGGAGGACAGTGCTACAGTGCTACATGGTTTGCAATGCAGATACTGAGAGGTTAACATTTGTTCCTTTGCCTATTTTCAGCATGCACTTCTTACTCAGAATGATCATTTCCAACTATCTTTGTCATAGTGGTCCCTTTTCTATTCCAACTGCCTTCTCCCCAGCTCTTGAGGCAGACTTCTAATCATGAAGCAATCCTCCTGGCCCTTGTTTCCTTATATTAAAATTCACCAAGATCTGGGACTGTTAAAAATAAGACTGTAAAATAGTCTTATCTCATCATTTTGGCAAAAAATTTTAGTCATATTTTAAAGTATGGCTAATATTTTAGAAAGAAAAATGCCAAGAAATTTTATCAAAATAGAAATTCTATTCAGGGTTTTATTTTTCAGTATCAGTTATCAAATTGGCAAAAATAAATGCATAAAACTTAAGCAGAACTTCTTTAAAAACATTTCTGAATTTATAGTTTATATAATAAAGCAAATTAAGGACAGCTCTTGCTGCTTTTTAAAACTTGTTAGATTTCTATAGAATAGAATAGCAGGAAAATGGTTCCCCACATTTTTCAATGTTATTTTTAGGAAAATTGGAGGTTGCATTTTGAACTTATTTTTCTTCTAACTTCAGAAAATTTAAACTCAGGAGCTATTTTTCCATGGAAAAAGGGTATCTGGAGCTAACAACTGTATGGATTGGATTCTTTTTTCCTGTAGAGAAATCAAAACCCAATGCTGTTACAGGGAGAGATTGAGTTTTGAACTTGGAACCCAGTGATTTCTCTGGTGACTAGGTTTTCCTGAACTCACCATAAGGATTTGCTAGAAGAATTAACGAACAAAAATATGAATGAAAAGTCAATATTGCAAGATCATACTATACCTCAATCATTGCCATTCCAAATGCTAGTCCAATCACCATGTTAAGATTGTCTTTAATTGTCTGTTTTACAAAACTTATACATGTCTGTTTAAAAAGTAAAACATATAAAAAGTTAGCATTAATGAAACTTTGACACTGAGTGGTGCTTAGAGGCTACTTGCATGTTTTCCCTTTCAAAAATTAACCATTTAATTTATAAATGTTGGAATTTTTACAGCTGGCCTGAAATGTTTTAAGTAGGGGTTAAATGGTTTTTTGGGGGGGCTTTTGGGGTCATACCTGGCAATGCACAGGTGTTCCGACAGGCTCTGCACTCAGGAATTACTCCTGGCGGTAGCTCAGGGGACCATATGGGATGCTGGGAATCGAACCCCAGTCAGACGCGTGCAAGGCAAACGCCCTATCCTCTGTGCTATCACTCCAGCCCCAGTAGGGGTTAAATTTTTGAAAAATCTTATTTTAAAAACTAAAACTTACATTATAATTAGTTGTCACCTAACCAAGAGCTTGCACACCATATGGTCCGCTGAGCACTGACGGGAGGAATTCCTAAGTGCAGATCCAGGAGTCACCTCTGAGCATCTCTGGGTGAGCTCTGCCTCACCCCAAAACAACAACAAATCTTTTTTTTTTACATTTTGGTTGTTGTTTTATCTTTTTACATAGTGACAGTAATATACTCACCATGAAACTGGATATCCATATCATGTTTTTTGCCCTCCAAAAAAACTGCAGTTGTGATTTTTTAAAATATATTAGAAAGCATTTGGGAAGCAAAATGTTTCTTTTACCACCTAGTTGCTGAACTCATTCTAGAGTAATTATTACCCTTATTGCATAATTTTTAGGTTTATAATCTGCAGTAGAAAGCTCCTGGTTGTGTATCAATCAATTATAATGTAAGTAAGTTTTCTCTTTTTTTTAATTTTTGGGCCACACCTGGCAATGCACAGGGGTTACTCCTGGCTCATGCACTCAGGAATTACTCCTGGTGGTGCTCAGGGGATCATATGGGATTCTGGGAATCAAACCTGGGTCGGCCATGTGCAAGGCAAATGCCCTACCCACTGTGCTATCACTCCAGCCCCAAGTTTTCATTTTTAAAATAATATTTTTAAAAAAGTTCTTGCTATTTATGATAGTTACTTTTATCCTAACAAGAAAAAAGAGAAAATATTGAACATTACTATGTCCCTATTTAAAACATTACAGACCAGCTGTAAAAATTCCAACATTTATAAATTTAAATGATTAATTTTTGAATGGGCTGGAGAGATAACACAGTGGTAGGGCGTTTGCCTTACACGCAGCCAACATGGCCGACCCGAGTTCGATTCCTCCGCCCCTCTCGGAGAGCCCGGCAAGCTACCGAGAGTATTCGATATGCCAGACACAGTAACAACAAAGTCTCCAATGGAGACGTTACTGGGCCCGCTTGAGCAAATCGACGATCAACGGGAGGGCCTTTACCTTTACCTTACCTTAATTTTTGAATGGGAAAACATATTAAAAAGTTAACAATAATGTTGTCTGTATTGCCAGAAACATGTATCATCCTTATATAAGATGGTAAAACTTACAAGTGCAAAGGGCTAACAGAAAATACTGCTATTTTTGAAATAAAAGTTTATCACAGGGCTGAGAAAGACATTCTTTTCCCTTCATTCTAAATGGATCTCTTCTCTTCTGATCCAAAGGGGTAAATTTTCACGGGTCACATGGTCACAGTCCTCCCGTTGTTCATCGATTTGCTCGAGTGGGCCCAGTAACGTCTCCATCGTGAGACTTCTTGTTACTGTGTTTGGCATATCGAATACATCACGTGTAGCTTGCCAGGCTTTGCCGTGTGGGCGAGATACTCTCGGTAGCTTGCCGGGCTCTCCGAGAGGGGCGGAGGAATCGAACTCGGGTCGGCCATGTTGGCTGCTTGTAAGGCAAGCGCCATTCCTGGTGCTATTGCTCCAGGAAGTTATTGCATACTATATTATCTTAGTCACATTCATTGTATTTAAAGCGTTTTCTGCCCTTCTTACCTACATCCCTTAGCACCAGATTGTCTTGGGGGAAAAGGGAGGGGAAAGTATGAATTATAACCACTCCAGACTTTTCTTTATTTTCCAGACTTCTTGCAAATGACATAAGGCAATTGGAAATATTTTTATGAATTTATGATCTTCCTTTGGGAAACTGCTATAACTATCAATCTGTTGATTTCATTTTCATTTCATTTCATCATCCTGTTATTCGTTGATTGCCTCGAGCAGGCCCCAGTAACGTCTCTTTCATCCTAGCCCTGAGATTATATTCAAGGCTCTTTAGGAGAATGAGACCCATCATTGTTATTGGTATTTGGCATATTTGGTACGCCACAGGGAATTTGCCAGACTCTGCCCTGTGGGCAGGCTACATTCGATAGCCTGCAAGTTTGTCCAAAGTAGGAATGAGATAATAAGATGTCATAAAAAGATGTCCTGATAAGATGTCGCGCGAATGCGGCCGCCCGGTTCCAGGAGCTGGATTTTATAGCCTCTGAGTCTTGGCCATTGATGGGATTACAAATAATCTGTTGATTATTTGTGAATAAAGAATATGCATTATTTTATAGGATAATGTCAGACTTTTCAAAATCTACGCTGGGGTGGGCAGGGAGGTTAACGGGTGATGAGCAAGGCTAAGACCTAGAGGCCACTCTTGGTGAGTGCTGGGGTCTCTGAGTCAGTGCAACTCTGGGAACCATATGTTCTAGGGACCCAATTCAGGGCCTCTCATATGTAATGCAAATATTCTACCACTTGTGACCTCTCCCTGGTGAGAAAGAGATATCCTTAGTTGACTCAAAATTAAAGAGAAAATGAAACAGAATGCAAATAGCAATCTGCAAAAAGAATTTATCAATAAGAAAAAATGTAATTTTTAATCTACCCTATATAGAATGTATATTTCTTTATACCACATTCATCATCTCTTTTCCTTAGGGATATTGTAACACTAAGATAAGGAGAAATGTAAATAACATTTTGGGGGTACACCTTGAGATGCTTAGGGCTTACTACTAGCTCTATGCTCAGGGACTTCTGACAGGCTCCTGGGACCATATCAGGTGTCAGGTATCAAACCTGGTTTGGCCACATGCAAAGGAAGCACCTTACTCTCTGTTGTGCTATCTTTCCAATTACTGATTCAGTTTTAAAAGCTTAGAGGACTTACTATTTCTTAAAGGTACACACCATTAAAATAACACAGTAATCTCTAGTGATACCTTGAATTTCTGAATTTCTGTTGCTATGTCTTCCTTTTCATTTCAATCAATTCTTTCATTTATGTTTTCTTTGTGAATATAACTAAGAATTTGTCCATCTTGTTAATTTTTGGTAAGTGAGCTCTTGGTTTCATTGATCTTCTGTGATGACCTTTCTGCTTCCATACTGTTGATTTCTGCTCTAAGCTTTATTATTTTTCTCTTGCTAAGTTTGAGCTTCTAATTTCGTTATTTTTCCGGTATCTTCCTCTCTTTTTTCTTTAGTGTTGGTTTGGATCACACCTACCAGTGCTCAGGACACTTCCCACTCTGTGCTACATTTTCCTTCCAGCATGCATTCAATCCTTTGAACTATTTCTCCAGCCCAAATATCATAATAGGTATAATTCAGTTATTAATTTGGACTTTTTTGTTTCCTGATAAATACATTGCCATGAAGTTTCCTCTTAGGACAGCTTTTGCTATGACCCACAGACTTGTAACTTGTATCTTTATTCTCATTTATTTCCTGGATTTTTTGAATATTTGGAGAAACTCAAATACTTTAAAGTAAATAACTTAAATAACTTAATATTAAACAATCAGTAGGTCAAAGAAGACATTTTTTGATTTCTTCTTTGACCTACTGATTGTGTAATATTAAGTTATTTAAGTTATTTATTTAAAGTAATTGAGTTTTTCCAAATTTTTCCAAATCCCCTGAATTTCTCTCTATACACTATGGTCTTAGAAGATGCTTTCCATGATTTCTATCCTCTTGATTTATGGAGACTTATTTTGCGCTTCAGCATGAATGTATTTAGAGAATACTGCATATTTAACTTTCACAAATCACACAAATCACAAATCATCCTGTTATTTGTTGATTGCTTCGAGCAGGCCCCAGTAACGTCTCTTTCATCCTAGCCCTGAGATTATATTCAAGGCTCTTTAGGATAATGAGACCCATCATTGCTACTGGTATTTGGCATATTGGGTACGCCACGGGAAGTTTGCCAGACTCTGCCGTGTGGGCAGGCTACATTCGGTAGCCTGCCAGTTTGTCCAAAGTAGGAGTGAGATAATGAGATGTTATAATAAGATGTTGTGTGGCCGCAAATGCGGCCACGCGGTTCCGGGAGCTGGTTTTTATAGTCTCTGAGTCTTGGCCGTTGATGGGATTACACGGCGCCAGGGGGCCAGTTGGTGGGTGTGACCCCCGCCTACTGGAATTTGGAGGATCTGGGTGATTTTAACTTTCAGGAGTCTTAAAACCCTATATCCATCTATTAAGCTTACATCTTCCATTTCTTTCTCTAAGCCAATGCCTCTTATTCATGTTTTATCTAGTTGATATATTTAATTATAGGAGAGCAGTATTAAAAATCTATCAATCTTTTTGTGCAGTGGTTCCTGATTTCAGTTTCCTACCATATTTTACAATTTCTCTTTCTTTGATAGATATCTAGTCCACTATTTCACTCAAGTCACTCAACAACCTTACCATTGTCACATTTAAGTCCTCATATAAAAGGTTATATAGCTCCTGGATGCTTGTGGTACTTGCTAGGCTTTCATAGTCACTCATTAACTTTGGTGAACTCCTCTATTTCTTCATTGTGCTGTGAAGGATAGGGTGAGGGTCTGTTTTTGTGCAGTTGTGGGTAGTGACTATAGGTTCATGTTCCATATGGAGTCTGTGTCACTGTATTTGTGTTTTATCTAACCAATGTTGTGAATATTCAGCTGAAATCAGTGCTGACTCTCAATGTTATTGATTCTCGTAGCTTCACCCTTACACCATTGTTTGAGTCCTTGAGATTGGGCAACCATGAAAATCAGAATCAGCCTTCCTTGTTCTTTGGGTCAAATCTCTTATTTGAATCTGAGTCCTGCATTCAGATGCATATTCCAAGATTCCTCACTTGAAAATTTTCCCAAAGTTATTTCTGGTCGTAGCTGTGCCTGTCCTTGGTAAGGTCACACATAGAATCCTTTGGATATATCTGTTTTGCTGCAAGTTAGACCCAATGAAATTCGCAGATCATGTGGCCCAGTGACCACTTAATTTATTAAAGAAAAAGATACCTACTTTTGGAGCAGCAGCAATAGTACAGCGGTATGGTGCTTGCCTTGCACAGTGGTAACTGAGTTCAATCTCTGGCATCCCAGAAATAATTCCTGACTGTAAATCCAGATATAATCCCTGAGCATTGCTGGATGTGTCCTTCGCCATTCTCTCTCAAAAGATCTGTCTTACGATATCAAACTACAACAACCAAACTAAAAATGTACCTGTCGAGGAATCAGGCTGGGGGTTTGGGATCTGGGGCTGGAAACTGGGGATATTGTCGGAGCAAATTTGACACTATTAACAGGATCAGTGTTAGAATATTGCATGCCTGAAACTCAACTATGAATAACTTTGTAAATAATGTAATAAAAAGCTAATTAAAAAATTTTTATCTCTTTTTGGGAAGGGCTTTCAAGTAGTGTTTCTGAAGTGTGAAAGTTACTTCCTGTGTTTTCAACCAAAAAGGCTGGTGGTTGAATGCAAGGAACTTAAAACAGAGTGCCATTTGGGTCGTGGAGTGCCACTTACCTGAATCAGCCCCAGTGGTTCTCAGAGACCTCCATATCTAAACCCAGCAGTGCTTGGAGGTCTCTGGGCTACACCCAATGATGTTCAGAGGACCAACTAAAGCTGGGGATTGAACCAATGTCAGTCATAAGCAAGGTATGTCCTTAACTTCTGTACTATCCCTCCAACTTCTACTCATATTTTTTTTTTGCCTTTTTTGGAGGGGAGGTCACACCTGGCGATGCACAGGGGTTACTCCGCTCTGCACTCAGGAATTACTCATGACAGTGCTCAGGGGACAATATGGGATGTTGGGAATCAAATCTGGGTCTGCCGTGTGCAAGCCTACCCGCTGTGCTATTGCTCCAGCCCCTCTATTCATATCTTTGAATAAGGATTTCTTTGCTAGAGGTGATCCCTGAGACTTTTATATCATGATTACAATTGTAATTGTTTCAATAAAATTTTTGTTCACCAAATCTATTGTTTCAATACAATTTCATTGTGAAAGGAAATTAAATGAACCACTTTCTATGTAAAATTTAATTTAGTTCTTACCTGTCTGAAAACACTTCTTCCACCATAATTTACACAATCATCTGCTTCATTAAGACAGTTACATGATTTATGATTTTCAGCAAAATTGCTTCCCCAGTCAATAGCTCCATTTACCAAACCACAGCATTTATACTGTTTGATGAAAAGTAGATATACAAAAACAGCCATTAGAGAGTACAGAAAATTGGTAACACATTAAATCATATTCTTCTGAAATAATTAAGATGAATGTTGTACCAAGACAAATGGTTCACATCCCTACCTCTCAATACAGAAGCAAAAATGGAAGATTCCTTCTCCGTAGACTTAATACAAATGAAAAAAAAAATAGAGTTGTAGAATGCAAGTCTAAAGAATTTCAAGAAAGGCTGAAAATTCTTCCATCTACTTTTATTTTATTTTGCTTGGGGCAACACCTGGCTGTGCTCAAGGTTTGCTTCTGACTCTAAGTTCAAGGGATGGCTCCTGGTGGGATATAAGGGATGATTTGAGGTACTAAAGTCGAGCCTGTATCAGTTGCAAGTGAAGCACTCTGCCACTATCTTCTTTCTCTATTAGAGAAAGAATATTTTACATCGAATAGAGAAAGAATATAGTGGCAGAATCTAATCTATGTATCCTAGATTTTAGTAAAGGCATTTCTATAGAGAAGAAGAGAGTCTAGTTATCTGTAAAGAACTCTGGTTCCAAAAAGATAAGTGGTTTTTAACGTTTCCCAATTAAAAAAAATACAACAAAGTTTCCAACTCCTGATCTCTGATAATTTTTGGAAAGAGAAGGAAAATGCTAAAAGGTTTCTCAGAGAACCAAAATAATGACCAGGGCCTTGTACAATCTGGTAGTGAGTGCAAATAATGGAAGAGAATTATAGAATAATGCAAAAAAATTCAAATCCAGAATGATTCAAAATATGGAGAAACAACGAGGAAAAGGAAAAGGGAGAGAAAACCAAGACATGATAATCCAGTGGCTCAGGGTATATAACTTATAAGATTAAAATAAGTATCCCTCATTTTGCTCTCCTATCTTGTTCTCTGTTAGAGAGAAAATTCTTCAAGAAGAAAGGTATGGGAAAATGCTAGGGAAAATGGAAACAATACTGGATGGCTTTCCAGTCTTTTTGGAAAACAATGTGGGAATTCCTCAAAAAACTATAATTGAGCTTCTATAGGACCCATAAATACCACTTCTCAAAATATACCCCAGAGGTGGAAAAATACACAGAATTAATGCACTATGGACTTCTATGTTCATTGCAGCACTGTTCACAATAGCCAAAATCTGGAAACAATTCAAGTGCCCCAAAGAGAAAACTGGTTAAAGAAACAATGGTATATCTGTTCTCCTGTTGTTCATCGATTTGCTCAAGCGGGCCCAGTAACATCTCCATTTTTTTTTGAGACTTGTTGTTACTGTGTTTGGTATATTGAATACGTCACAGGTAGCTTGCCAGACTTTGCCACAAGGGCGAGATACTCTCCGTAGCTTGCCAGGCTCTCCAAGAGGGGTGGAGGAATCAAACCCAGCTTGGCTGGGCTGACTGCGCGCAAGGCAAACACCCTACCACTTTGCTATCCCTCAGCCCAATCGTATATCTATACAATAAAATAGTACACAGCTGTTAGGAAGAATTAAGTTATAAAATTTGCTTAATAAATGGATTGAGTACCATGCTGAGTGAAATGAGTCAGAAGATAATAGACACAGAAATATTGCACTCACTGATAATATTAAAAAAAAAAATGGGAGGCGTCCCGCAGACGCCGGGCAACAACGCTGATCAGAGCCTCTCTGCCTCTCCCTTTCGGCCACCCAAGTCGAGCTGGTCTCTTCTCCCCACCAGAGTCTTTTCTCCCGGGACACACACCAGGTATCTGTAGGGGTGTGGCCACTTTAGAAGTGGGCGTGGCTTTTTAAAAAGTGGGCGTGGGCTAACTTTTGGCGGGCGACTGCTTATGCGGCCGCAGGGAGTTTACTCAAATCAAGAAATCTCATCCCTACACCTACACAACAACATGAAGAAACAACGCAAATCTCCGCCATAGGAGACCACGAGGAAATAAGTTCAGAAGCCTCACGAGGTGCTAGCCACCTTAGGGACCTCTCTGACAAGGAATTCAGATATGAAGTCATTAAGATGTTCAATCAACTCGATGAAACAGTCAGACAGATATCCACTAAATTGAAAGAGGACATGAAAGAAACAATCGATCGCACAATCGACAAAATACAGCAAGAAATGAGAGCCAAAATTGGAAAGCTTCGCACAGAAATGGCATGCATCACAGATTCCCTAGATGAAGTCAAAAACTCACTCTCTGCCCTCAAAAATAGAATGACCACAGCTGAGGAATGAATCAGTGAACTGGAAGATCAGCTGCACCAAGCCAACACGCAACAACAAACAGTGAAAAAGGACCTCAAAATAGCTCTACAGAGAATCAGAGTCCTACGAGACGATTCCAAAAGAAACAACATTAGAATCATTGGACTACCAGAAGCTCAGGGTAACAATCCCAATGAAAAAAACATGCTTAAACAAATCATCACCAAGAAATTCCCAGAGCTCCACAATACAGCCATTCAGATTCAAAAGCACGAAGGGTGCCAGCTAAGAGACCCCAACAGAAACACTCCAAGACTTATTATAGTTAGGATGATCGATGCTGCCGATAGAGACACAATACTGCAAGCAGCAAGGGCAAAAAAGGAAATCACATACAAAGGAGCATCCCTGAGATTCACAGCAGACCTATCAGAGGAAACTCTCTAAGCCTGAAGGCAGTGGCGAGATATAGTCAAAAAACTCAATGAAATGAATGCTTCACCAAGAATACTCTATCCGGCTAAACTCTCACTCAAAATCGAAGGAATGCTACACTATTTTCTAGATAAACAGCAGCTCAGGAACTTCATACACTCAAAACCAAACCTAAAACAAGGCCTAAAGGGGCTACCATAAGACAAGACAAACCCTACAACCACAACACACCCGCACAGAAAGATGACACAAAACCCCATAACCATACTCTCTCTCAATGTCAACGGTCTAAATTCACCATTTAAGAGACACAGAGTGGCAAAATGGATACAGAGACAGAACCCAACATTCTGCTGCCTACAAGAAACTCATCTCAACACTCAGAGCAAACACAGACTCAAAGTCAAAGGATGGAAAACAATCCTGCAAGCAAACAGCTCCTGCAATAAAAGCTGGGGTGGCCATACTAGTATCCGACAACATTAATTTCACCTTGAAAAAGATTAGAAGGGACAGTGAATGTTATTTTCTCTTCATCAGAGGATACGTACAACAGGAAGAAATCACACTCTTAAATGTATACGCACCTAATGAGGGAACAGCTAAATATTTAAAACAACTGCTAACAGATTTTAAGGAGGACATTGCAAGCAACACAATAGTACTTGGATTCTTCAACATTGCCCTATCACCTCTGGACAGATCAACAAGAACAAAACCCAGCAAGTAATCATTGGCTCTGAAAGAAGAAATAGAAGAGAGAGGGCTTATAGACCTTTACAGGGCTTTACACCCCAAAAAGAAAGAATACACATTCTTCTCCAGTGCACACGGAACATTTTCCAAAATAGACCATGTGCTAGGACACAAAACATACCTCAACAGAATCAGGAAGATAGAGATAGTATCAGCCATCTTTTCAGACCATGATGCACTGAGGATAGAAGTGAATCACACACAGACACGGAGAACCAAATAAAACACCTGGAAGTTAAACAACTCGATGCTGAACAACAAGTGGGTCAGGAATGAAGTTAAGGACGAAATCAAAAGATACTTGGAAACAAATGAGAATGAAGACATGAGCTACCAGAACCTATGTGATGCAGCAAAAGCTGTATTAAGGGGGAAATTTATAGCTCTGCAAGCATATCTTAGGTCGGTAGAAACGATGCACATAAACAACTTGACCTCACAGCCCAAGACCTTAGAAAAGGATCAACAGAAAGAGCCTAAATCAGGCAGAAGGAAAGAGATCATAAAACATAGATCAGAAATCAATGACATGGAAACCAAAGAAACAATCCGAAAGATCAATGAAACCAAGAGCTGGTTCTTCGAGAAAATAAACGAGATAGATAAATCACTAGCAACACTCACAAAGAAACAGAGAGAGAGAACCCTAATAAACCGAATCAGAAATGAGAAGGGGGATATCACAACAGAAACCAAAGAAATCCAAAAGATCATCAGAGACTACTTTGAAAGTCTGTATGCCACGAAACAAGAGAACCTAGAAGAAATGGACAAATTCCTGGACTCCTATAATCTCCCAAAGCTGAATCAAGAAGATCTGGAGTATCTGAATAGACCTATTAACATCAACGAAATAGAAACTGCAATCAAAAGTCTTCCCAAAAACAAAAGCCCGGGCCCAGATGGATTCACTAGCGAATTTTTCCAAACATTTAAAGAGGACCTGCTGCCAGTTCTTCTCAAGCTTTTCCAGGAAATTGAAAAAACGGAAACTCTCCCAAACAGTTTCTATGAAGCCCATATCTCTCTAATACCAAAAGGAAACAAAGACATCATGAGAAAAGAAAACTACAGGCCAATATCCCTGATGAACACGGATGCGAAGATTCTCAAAAAAATACTAGCAAATAGAATTCAACTACTCATCAAAAAGATCATACACCATGACCAAGTAGGATTCATCCCGAGGATGCAAGGCTGGTTTAACACTCGGAAATGAATCAACATAATCCACCATATCAACAAAAGAAAAGATAAAAATCATATGATCATATCAATAGATGCAGAGAAGGCATTTGACAAGATCCAGCACCCATTTATGATGAAAACCCTAGCTAAAATGGGGATAGAGGGGACATTCCTCAATAGAGTTAAAGCCATCTACCACTAGCGTACAGCAAGCATTGTCCTCAATGGCGAGAAACTGAGAGCCTTCCCTCTAAGATCAGGGATGAGACAAGGATGTCCACTCTCTCCACTGCTGTTCAATATAGTACTGGAGGTAACTGCAATAGCGATTAGGCAAGAAAAAGATATTAGGGGCATCCAGGTAGGAAAGGAAGAAATCAAGCTCTCACTATTCACAGACGATATGATACTATACCTAGAGAATCCT